ACTGCGGCAGCGCCTGCCTCTCGCGATAGACATTTGTCATTTTCAACCGTACCAACCGGCAACTCGGTTAGCACGTCATCGTTGGAAAGAAGTCGAAGATCAACACAATATTCTGAGGATGGACATCCACCGCCAACAATTGGAAACAAATCCGTAGCTCCTACAACGGGCGAGGAACACGATGTTGCAAGATCAGACATTGCAGCATCCCATGCGCCATCTTCAGGTGAAGCTACAAATGCTACAATTGGATGCGGGGTTAGCACTGGTAGAGGTGCTGATAGTACATTTTCTTCTCCGGCACCATCCGTCAGATCTTTGACTACGACTCTTACAACGATTCATTCTGCTGGAGCTCCTGGCACTACCGTTTCGCACAATCATGCCTCAAATAACACACAAGGTATTCAATTCACACATCAATTTCCCACCTCCCCACCAGCCACAGCCTTACCCGCACATTTGGCCCCACAAGGTAGTGGAGGTCACCCTGCAACATACAACACAGCTACAGCGAACAATCTCCTCACAGATAACGCATCTATCTTGACTTTGGCCTCATCTTCTAAACGCAGACGAAGGCGATCTATGGATACTGATGCATCGGTTCGTGCTTTGGCGCCCTCTTCGGTATTTGGTGGCAGTCGCGAAAGTCTACCATTGAGCGTTTTAAGTGCTACAATTGACGGTTCTACTATCACATCACCAACTGGTCTATATCAACCACGCCCTATCGCAAATGAGAGAGCTAGCATTTACTCCTCGACAGGTGTTGCTCCAGCTTTACCAAGTGAAAGGAATAGTTATTACGCCAACAAACAATCTTTGGCAAATGATGGTGGAAGTGTGAAAAGTGGGTTATTAGGTCATGGCAGGACAGACAGCATCTCTGGAAGTATCGGTGGCATGGCTGCTCCGGGAAGCCCACTAGCTAGTCCACGCGATCCTACAGGCTCTACCGGAAGATTGAGTCGAAGTAACTCGGGTTGGGGAGAAAATGGTGAACTTGTGGTCACAGATACTACGCACACTCTAGACGGAGAAGATGCGAAAGACAAAATTGTTAAGGAGGAATTGGAAGAAGAGAACGAAAAGTAATTTTTCATAAGACTGGTATTTGGAGCGTAGGGAATATGAGGATGAGCGATGTTTCAAAATATGAAAGTGGATTTAAGGTCGGATAGAAATGCGGAGAATGGACATCGAGGAAGATGTGGGTTGGTGTTTGGGTTCTGTGATTTACGGTTTATGCACCAAAGATACCCGATAATTTTTGATTGAACTTCTAGGTTCTTGATTCCCAAATGTTCCTGTTTATCGGTTTCGAGAATATTCATGGGGGTGAGTGTGTAATCAAGAGATGGTTTTAAAACATGAAATATTATCTGAAGTATTCCATCTCAAGATTTCTTAAATTATATCGTTTGTGATCCATTGCAGCTGATGGGATCAGATCATTCTTTTGAAATATCAAAACTTATCTGCAAACTCAAGTTCAGTAAAAATGGAACATCAACATCAACTCTACCGTCCAAAGTATCTGAGATGTATTGAGATATACGAGTAGTCCGCACTAGACTAATTCTCTTTGCATTTCAAATAAGTGAATGAAAAGTATTCTCCGAATACACATTTTTGAGGAGTTGACTTTGCTCCAATATCTTTATGGCAAGAGGTCGATGAAAGTGTCTGGATAAGAAAGGAATCCTAATTTTTACTCTCTTCTTAATCACAAGTCAGAACGCCAAGCGATTGCTTAATCATGTCCAAACGCGTTCACGTGATTCGCCGACTAAAATGCCTTCCCGAACCGAGGGCATTGAACAAGTGTTTTCGTCTCTAGTAAGAAGGATTGTACCAAATATACTTACAGAGTACAAATACTCTCTATTGGAAAACTATGGTTGATAACTCCATGCTCAACATGTACGGCATCCATACTGCTTGACCTCGGCTTCGGTTCTGCCTGGTTGCTCAAAGTTCCTGTCGGTCATCGATATGAAAGAGGTTGGATGCCAAGAACATTGAATATACATGTTGCGCGTTTGTCTACGCGTACACTAACTGTGCGTTGCAGAGACGTAAATAGCCTATTTCGGGTCAAGCATAACTTCTTTCGCTCGAAAAAGAAGTGCCGAGACCAGTGGAAAAATGTCCGAAACCTCCGAACTATCTGGGAACATATTTTAGGCGACATGCATAGCATTACCATATGTCTGCGTAAGAACACTTGATTGTGAGGAGAAGGAGACAATGGACTTGTTGGATTGTCAAGAAAATATCTTATCGTTGGATCGATCTGACCAACTTGAGGTAAACATGTGTTTCGATATGTGGTTGGATTAGAGCCTTCTTTGCAAGTTCAACGTATGTTCTAGAATTTCCTGCACGAAAGTACTGGGACGACTGGTATCCTTCTGCAGCCCGCTTTTACTGGATGAACTAGGTGGTCCGGCTCAATACCGCATCTAAACCTCATCCCGGAATTTGAGAAGATATGGAGCATTGAGGTGGCGGTAGACAAATGCCGAAGCTTGAAACGAATCTTCAACGGTGTTAATAATCTATGAGCCCCTTATTAATATCTTTTACCATGCATAAAGGCTTAGCCACTGGCTCATGCGCAGATCCAAAGCTTGATTTAGCAAGAGTCAATAGCACAATACCCTTTGTTCGGGACCGAACAATATATGGGGTACGCAATGGTGAGTAGGTAGCTTCAGTGAGGATATCTTTCAAATGAATATATAAAGAAACATGTTTTGTTCTCATTGGAAGTTTTCTCCTTACTCACTCCTCTCCAATTCACATTCTTTTTACAATGAAGCAGTTTACTTCTCAAGTCCTTGGGGCTGCCGCTCTCGCTCATGGCGCCTCAGCACAACTTTACAACCAAGTAATTCAAACCAACTACGGGCCTGTTCAAGGTATTCCTGCCTTCAACTCTTCCCCAAATGGCAACATTTCGAACTGGGAGGATATCACAGTATGGAAAGGAATTCCATATGGTGCCGATACCTCTGGCGAGAATCGATGGACACCTCCAAAGAATGCAACACCTTGGAATACCACTCTTCAAGCAAATAAGATGGGTCCTATTTGTGGACCAGGCAATCCATCTACAACGGGCGGCACTGTTAGCGAAGATTGTTTGAACCTTAACATCTGGACCAATGGTAAATCTACCGATGCCAAGCTCCCAGTTGTCTTTTGGTCTTTCCCAGCAGGTGGTGCTGCCGACCAACCTTTATTTGACGGCGCCGGAATGGCATCTCAGGGCATTGTGTTTGTCAATTACAACTATCGTATTAGTGCTCTTGGTTGGCTTTCAACCCCCGAGCTTTCGGCAGAAATGTACAAAGCTACTGGATCTAACAGTTCCGGAAATTGGGGCCAGCTTGATCAAATCCACGCTTTGAAATGGGTACATGCCAACATTGCTGCATTCGGTGGTGATCCAGACCATATCACCGTCATGGGTCAATCCGCTGGGTCAGCTGCTGTCTACCACTTCGTTAACAGTCCATTGTCAAAGGGACTTATTGTCGGAGCCATCGCCGAGTCAGGAACCCGTGATCCATACGATCCTGAGGCCCTTACTCTTGCCGAGAATTATCGTAACCAGTCTTATGCTCTCGCATCCGGCTTAGAGTACATGGCTTCCAAGAACGTTAGCACCATTGCTGAGATGCGAGCTCTCCCTCTCGCTGATCTCGAAGAGTCTCTTTTCGGAAGTGCCTTCTCCGATAAATTCGGTAATGTACTTGACGGCTATGCTATCCCCGCCAAATACATCGAGACACTTGCCACTGGCCCAGCAAACGATGTTCCATACATCACTGGAAACACGAAAGATGAGTCCGGAGCAGCCACAAGCACTAATCTCACAGTTGCCGAATACGAAGCTGAAATCGAAGCGCAATACGGTGCTTACAACCTTTCATCCACATTCTTGGAGCTTTACCCAGCTTCAAACATCACTCAAGCAAGTATGGAGTATAATGCTCATTGGCGCGATACTTCCCGTGTCTCCAGTTGGTCGTTCGCCAATCGCTGGTCTGTTAAGTCCAAGTCGCCTATCTGGACATACTATTGGGATCATGCTCCTCCAGGACAAACTCAAGGCGCTTATCACGAGTCTGAAATCAACTATGTTCTTAACAATCTCTACGGAACTGATAAGCCATGGGAAGCTGTTGATTTTGAGATTGCTCTCAAGATGAACGGATACTGGGCAAACTTCGCTAAAACTTTGAACCCCAACAACGGAGGCTCCTACAAAGGAAATGGAACCTTACCACAATGGAATGCCAATTCAGAGACAGATATGGTGACTATGGAAGTTGGTGATGGATTTGGAGAGGTTCCTATTGGTAGTGCAGACCAAGTTGCTGCTATTACCGAATACTTTTCGTACCAGAACCCCGTTTAGATGATGTTTAATGCATCATGGGTTGGGTTTAAATGGCTCTGCACTTAATACTTTCTGTATATGTATTCGTTAAAAAGTCAAAAGGAGTCGGCGAGTTAACGATTCGTTCTTGTGTATATATAGCATTCAATTCAAGTCAACACGAGATACAATCGTACTCTTATATTTTAATCATTGCTTCCTCCGTTACCGAATTGAGTCTTCGAGTACGATTCTTTCCGACTCGCTACTCATGGAACAGTTATTTTACTAATGTCATCCAAATCATCTGATTTTTTTTATCTGAATAGAAATTGGTAATTAGATCATACAATCAATTATTGGCTGCACGTTGCCAAGTTAACATCTTGCGATGGAAAATCTCAAATCCCATCATTCCAGCTGGGGAATTCATTTTTCCCCCCACAACACCTTACACATTCCTCACATTTATCACTATCGAATTTTCTCCCTTCTCTTCTCACCTTATCTTTCTATTCCTCACCCAAACAATTATTGAAAATATTCCTTTCCGTGATTACCACTCTAAAAGACGATCGACTTCCATGTACCCCAAAACCTACCAAAAATGATATCTCTCCACTATCACCGCATCCTCCTATTTCTCTTCCTACTCATCCTTTCCCTTATCCTCTTCTTACATTTCACATATCCGCATTCATTGAACTTCAACCTGAATCTAAATCCCCTATCCATAACCAACTCCATTGCTCCATCTAGAAAACAAAAATATATCACCAAAGAAGGAAAATCCATTAATCAGCAAAATGTCATCCAGCTACGGGCTAAAATCAAGGAAGGGAAATATCCCGCGTTGAAAAAATTACTAGAAGATGGTGTTTTGGGAGTAGGTGGAGGAGATGGCGAAAAATCTGGGAATGGAGGGGAAGGAGAAAAAGTTATCCATCAGGTGTGGCATAATTGGGAAGGAGGATTTGGGAGAAGAGTTGAGAGACGTGGTGATGAGAAAGCGGGAGCACAAGTAGTGGAAGGGAGTTATGGTGAGGGTATGAGGAAGGGAAAAATAAATATCGCGGAAGATAAAGAGGGATGGGAAGTACGCGGAGGCGATGGAGAAATTCCTCATGAATGGGAAGAGAGGAGAGAGCATTGTCGGGGGATTAATGAACAGAATGGGTGGAAATATATTGTATGTATCTATCTATCTCTTATATATTTTTGATTCAGCTCTTCATTTTTTGCCCTAACGGGCTTTGAGAAGATCAAACTAATCACCCACACACAGCTCTGGACTTCCCACAAATCCCTCGCGTTCATAAAAACTCACTACCCATCTTTTCTCAAAACATATATATCTTATCCCTCGAATTATCAACGCGTCGAAGCGATGAAATGTCTCCTGCTTTATAAATATGGTGGGATTGTATTGGATGTGGATACGATTTGTCTGCGAGCTTTGGATCCATTTTTGATGCTGGGGTTGTTTGTTGTGTGTGAACCTTTATCTTTATCTTCATCTTTATCTTCATCTGGAAGTAATGACAGAGATGAGAAAGTAGAAGGGACGCTATCAACACGTATCATGGGCGCTCCGAGGAATCATGGATTTGTAGTGGAGTTGATAGATGTGTTGATGGGGTATAATGCGCCAGGGGTTGAAGGAGATGCGAAAAGTGGGAGTGGTAGAAGAATAGGAGCATGGAGTTTGACGGGGAAGTTAAAGAAGGGGGAAAAGTTAATGATGGGTCGGAGAGAGGTTTTTGGAGAGGTGTGGGATGCCTATCATAGGAGGATTGAAGAGGGAGTGTTGGATGTGGGTGTGGGTGTTGGTGCTAATACGTCTACAAGGATGGATGATAAGAGAGGAAATAGTGACCGAGAAGAAATGGGATTGCTGGATAGTGTGGGATGGAGAGTTAGTGTGTTGCGTAAGGGAGAGGGTGTTGGGAGAGGATTTTTCGGTGAGTTGTTGAATTCTAGAAATCTTTCTTCCCGTGTGAGAAACAGATGTACCTCCACAGTTCTGATGAGAGCGTCCTTTGATTCATGGATTCTTAAATTTTTAATTCTACCTTTAAGTACGAGTTGAATCAAGATTAGGCCAGAAAAACTAACCATCCCAGGTCCTCACACACATAACGCCAAACCCCCCTCCCCACCCAAACCCAAGCCCCAATCCAGAACCTCCCACGACTCTCCCACCCATCTTCTCCTCCCCCTCTTAATCCTCATCTCCCTTTCCCTCCTCATAACACTAATTTTCTACTCTCATCACCGCTCAAATACACGAAAACAACCGCTTATTCGTCGTGCTTCAAGTAGATATGAGAGAGGAAGGAGAAGGGAGAGAGTATTAAGAGGTGCGGGACTGGGTGAAGGAAGTGGTGGGTGTTTGCTTAATGGCTATGGAGGGGGTGGGTATGGGGGACAGTCTATTGAGGTGACGGAGAAGGATTGGAAGGGTTTGATGATTGGGGAAGGGGAAGGGAATGGAGGGAGAGAAGGGGATGGGAGAGGGAGGGTATGAGGGGTGCTGAATAGGTTCTTGTGGGGACTTAGGAAAGATGTGGTGTTATAGAGATTGCAATGCGTGTGATTGAGAAATAGCGTTTCAAGCAAATGAAGATCAATGACTGATTGAACCGTCGTCAGATTTGAATCCGAAGGATAAAAAAACAGTGTTAAAATATAAGATTGTTCTGGAAACTGGATGGAATCCCAAGCGAAGCGAGGACGTTCATTCATTGAAGTCTCCCCTTGAATTTGGATTGGATTCTAATTATATCCACACAACTCGTTCACCAACACGTCTACAAAAGTGTTCAATATCAGAATCACACATCTTCTTATAAGGACGGCTCGTTTGTCAAGGTTGAATCGAATGAGGTCGTGGAAGATGCTACGCGGGAAAGTTGGGATTACAAACAAAGACAGCTTGAACGGAATGATTTTTTGCCAGGTGATATTGAGTATTGGGCTCAAGAAACGGGAGATTCATTTATGGATTCAACTTGTGTGAGTAATCTGCGTGATTCTGCGAGAAGATATTTAGAAATGGATTGTTCTTGATGTTCTGATTTGCTATATACTATTGATGATTGGACATTTTTTGTACTACAGTCACTTGGCTTCTTTTTGATTCGATTTGTTTTGTCTCTATGTAATTTGCCCTTTTTGTTTGCAACTACAATCAGAGAGTTTAATCTAGTACTACCCTCAAGCGTTTGAACCTTGGGATGTCCATGGCATATTAGGCATCAAGAACTGTGCTTCAATATCCTCTAGTCCCGGTATGTCAGCAAGAAGTGATTCCAACCACGAATCACCATACTCAATATCCTGCAGCGTTTGACCACTACTTCGATCCATTGTAGCATCAGCAGGTGGTAGTGGATCAGCCTTCATGACTTCACTGAGCATCTTCGCATCATCCTCTTTCCTTCTTTGAGAAAGCAAAACTAGTAATCGAGCAGTTTTATATGCTTCTCTCATGACACTCGTATCATATGCGGTTGATACTTCCCCAAGAGTCTTCATTGCGTCTCCGAGTCTCGATAATGAACTTCGGTTGTCGATAGCGAGGATTGTGCAGATTATTTGGAAGGGTACGTTAGCCATATGATGCCATGGACAATTTGTTCGGACCATTTCTCTAGCACAACGTAACGCTTTACTCATGAGTGTCAAAGCTCGGTCTAAGAGTTCCGCAGAGACAGTGAGATTCAAAGCGCGAAGACGTCGGTAGATGCAAAGCATCAGATTACATTGGGCCATTACTGATGGTGGCTGTATGTGACTGCTGTCCAAGACTTGCACAAATGCAGACTCGAGATTCGATGCATTTTGCTGGTTAATTGGATCCAAAGCTTCGGACATGGGCAATAAGCCAAGAAGCTCTTTCGTCGAATCTTGGTGATTCAGATATGGGAGGACTGAGGGCACTCCTCCTTGGAGCACTACCCTAGACCGTCCAAGATCAAAGGAGATCCACGTATTTAGATGTTGTGCTACACCTAATAGTCTCCATCGTAACTCTGAATTGCTGTCTACTACTGGTTGTATTGAAGGATCATTTGTCGTAGTCGGGATATGAAGACCTGCTGCTTCAATCATGTGCATCAACGTACAGCTAGACATCCATGCGACATGAGGTGATGCTGTCATACGCAAATAGACAACCCTAAGAAGTTGTCCTGTGATCGTTTCTGTTGTTGGTGTTTCTCCGGAATATTCATCTAGAATTGATCGCGCGGATTCAACAAGCTGCAGTTCTAAGAAAGGTGCAACTCGATTAGAAAACAGACTTCCAAGCGCGGCCACCCCAAACAAAATTGCATCAAATGGCTTTCTCTCGTTCTTGACAAGTTGTCGAACCTTCCATCTTTGAAAGAACTTTGCCCGATCAATGAAATTGTAACAGATGTCCACCTTTTCAAAGTAGAAGGCAGACAATTCATCCACGATGCCCGTGCTCGATATATCTTCCGTTGATAATGTTGAAACCCGCTTAGATCTGGTATTACTATACCTTTCTCCAATATTCCACGAAAATAAATTCAATCTCGGTGCATTCTGAGGATCGATTTTCAGCGCTAATTGCCTGGCAAAGGTTGCACCGGAATTCGCTTCTATCGATGGAGGAGGTAAGGATTCTGCTTTTGTGGGAGCTGATAATGATGATTGCTCATGGTTGTGTCTAGCTCTTTTGCTATGTCCGGAATAGTTCTTGTATTGACACTCGTATTCGAATCGAACACAAGAATCACATGGTTGACCGCCGTCGCATCTTCTTTTGCGGTCACGACAAGGTTCGCAGGCTATTCGAGAGCGTTTACGCTTCAATGGTGACTCCATCATAGCAGTGAGAAAATTCTCTTAACATAGAGAACAATAGCTGAGATAAAATAAGAAATTTTTTCCTTACCTTCTTGAGCGATCACATTTCATCGGGCCCATTTCATGCTCTGACATGGCAGAGCTATGGTGGAGTCGGTTTGCTGCATGTGCATTACGTAATTTTGAAGCAGCCAATGGTTAATCCTCGGCTTTCACCGACGCCTCCTACGCTACTTCTTCGAAAAATCTCACAAATGAGCAACTATTCAGGTCAATTAATCTTCTAGATGATCGTATTATATCTATTTCTCGCCTCATAGAAATCTATCTATTATTCTGGAACTGGTCTCAATAATCTATCATGCTTTATTCTTTATTCCATTCATTTACCGTAGGAGACCTAGACCTTGACCCAACTCCATCCAGACGTCGATACTCTAGACGCTACAAGACACAATCCACTAAGCGCAATCGACGTTCCCGCAAAGATCTGCGCATAGAGATAACTTCCTCCTCCAACCTGAATCAGCGCACCAGAAATCGGTGGACCAGTCAAACACGCAAAGCTAACAACACTCAAAATCATACCCAGCCTTACCCCCGTTTTCTTAGGATCCGTCGTCAAGATTGTAGCAGTGGCCGGAAGAAGCGCCTGTAGAGCAGCTGCAATAAATCCGTATATAATAGCAAATGGATACATTCCACTTATTGAATCAACAGCCGCCCAGCAATAAACCAAAACGCATGCTGCGAAAGCGAATGGGATGAGGATGTTGAAGGGTCCAGTGATCCGATCTCCGATGAGGTTTGGGATAATGCGTCCGATGATTCCAATCCCATTCAAAATCATCAGAAGACTAACGGAAGTTTCAGTCGTAGCGCCCAAGCGGTCGCGAGCGAATGTTCCCAGATAGAAGAAAGCGAAATATAGTCCCCAGTAATTGAAGAACATCCCCATGGTAAAGAAGGTATATGCCAGTTCTTTGAATGCCGCCCATTCTACCAAAGCACCTGCTTTATAAGGAGGCAATCTTGGCTTAAAGAGGAAAATGGAAGGAATATGAGCTGCCAACATAATAAACCCTACGGTCCTCAACGTCCACGCGAACCCAACTTTTCCAATCAATACATGCACAGCAGCCGGATACACCAAACCTCCACTTGCTCCCCCCGCCGCTGCAAGGCCTACTGCTAACGCTCTGTTTCTCTTGAAATACGTGGACAAAACAGATAGAGCAGGACAGAACGACAATCCATTCCCTAAACCAACACAGACCGCATGAGCAAGAAATACCTGCCAATAGGTCTTGCACAAAGATGTCATAAAGACACCCAGTATTTGCAGGAAGACACCGATTCTGAAGATGAGATGGAAATGACCAGCATCCGATGCTCGACCCCCTATCACTCCGACGAATAACAGGAGAAATACTTGAACGCTACCGATCCAAGCGATGGATGAAGAAGTTTGAGCTAAGCTGACGGTATAGTATTGTTGGAAAATTCCATAACTGTTTGCGAAACCCCAACTATTGAAGAAGACGAGATGTGTGAGGAATACATGGAGCCAAGCTGTGAATCCCCCATCCGGAGGGGGGCCGGGATTTGTTGAATTGGGGGTTGGAGTTTGAGATTGGGATTCATTATCGGTACTGGTGCTTGAGAATTGAGCATCCTGCGTTTGTTTTTCGGACTCATTCATAGTTATATCATCAGATGTATAGCTGTGGATGGCAAAGGAAAGGCTCATCAACAATGATATCTCAAAATATATGTTTCCGAACCAAAGCCAGTCCTGGAAAAAATCTTTATATACTCTAGCAACTGACTCTAATTTCAATTTTTTTTTGAATATGAAACCCCATTCGCAAACAAATCAACAGTTATAGGTTATTGCCAATTTTCTCCCACAAAAAGTGCGTACGACTTTGGCTCGGGTGGTGCGCGTCCGGTTATTGCGGGGAGTTAGGGGAGCGGGACAAAAACAATTGCGCTGGAGGAGTCATTGTCGTAGGTGTGGAAGAGGTGTGGAATTTTTGATACTATAGGTCTGGATTATATATTGGTCCATCTACCTTCTAGATGTATTCCTAATACATACCCCCATGTAGAATCTCAATCAAACGGAGTATATAAAACAATTCCCACTGATAGTATACCCACCTCACTTGTCTTAAACTCTTTTACAGTTATATATCCATTACAAGACTGTATTATATACCCAAGTGAGACTTTCCACAAGTTATTGTAGTAGATCCTTAAACTTCATTAGCTCGTTTGAATGCAGATCGACTACACGGAAACTTATTGCTTCAATGTGAGAACTTGCCGTGTCTTAGATAATGACTCAAAAAATCTACCTCCACAAAGTCTTGAGACTGTGAAGCTGTTAAACCATCTGTATCGTAGATCGCAATCATTACAAATGGAAGACTCCGATATTTTCTGAAGTATAGATATGAGCTAGAAAAATACTGGGATAATTGTTCACAAGAATATATTTGTTGGTATTATAAATATTAGTGGAATTCAAACTTCGAGAGATCTTCTATATACACTTTCCATCCTCCTTACATCAGCCATGCGACTATGCCCCCTCATTGAGCTTCTCCCGTCCCGAATACCTCCAACTTAATCCTATCTTTGCGCACTCCAAATGTTTGCAAACTCTTACTCATATCATTCATGAATCCCCCCGGACCACAAATGAAATATACCGTCAAGGAATCATCCAAATGCAACGCATCATCCTTAACTTTCGATAAGTCCATTCGTCCCGCTAGATCCTTAACCGGATGTCCATAATCATCGGCTGGTAGATTCTTAACGAAAACCCAGGAGTTGACATTCGACTGCGATGAAGCGATCTCTTGGACGTGGGCATGGAATGCATCAACTTCTTTGCTGCGTGCTGCGTGGATATATGATATTGGCCGCGAGCTTCTTCTTTCAACCAATGTGTTGAGTATGGATACCATGGGTGTGAGGCCAACTCCGGCGGAAATCAACACTACGGGAGAATCGACATTCTGTTGTAGATCGAGGAAGAATTCTCCCTGGGGTGGAGATACCTGGACGATATCACCCTCGTTCTTTGAATCGTGGAGAGTATTCGAAATCACACCTGCTTCAACTGGCGTGTTGACTTCTGGTAGGACAACAGCATCCTCTCGTTTCACACTGATACGGTAGTATTTCTCATTTGGACGATCACTTAATGAGTATTGTCTGGATTGCAAATATCCGAAGTCTGGTACATGGACCTGGACTGAGATGTACTGGCCCGGTTTGAAAAGAGGGAGAGGTTTTCCGTCCACGGGTTCTAGGTAGAAAGAGGTGATAATACTGGATTCTTTGACTTTCTTGGCGATCTTGAAGTCTCTCCATTCTTTCCATTCGCCAGCTTCTCGATACAATTGCGCTTCTCTATCAATCATGATCTGGGCCAATTGGTTGTAGGCAGCCGTCCACGCGTCTAGGATCTCTGGCGTCAATGCTGCGCCGAGTACTTGGCCCATGGCCTCTAGTAGGTACTTTCCAACGATAGGATAGTGTTCCGGTCGGATGAATAATGAGGCATGTTTTTGACATATTCTTTCCACAGCATCTGAGAGTACAGCAAGGTTATCGATATTGGCCGCATAAGCAGCGAGAGCACCTGACAGAGCACGTGGTTGAGCTCCATTCTTTTGGTTTGTTTGGTTGAAGATGTTATTGAGTGCGGGATTTGCATCGAGAACGTTTTTGTAAAAGGCGGTAGTAATGGTAGTTCCATACTCTTGGACTACAGGCACTGTGGCCTTTATGATGTCGATTTGCTGAGGTGTGAGTGACATGGTAGGATTTCAATAATCTAGTAGATTGTGATATTGTTTTCCAGTATCGATGATTCTAGACATCCAAACATTCTGGACATACCGGCCCCAGGATCCTTATGTATGAATTCCACCTCGAGCACCAAGATTACAAACTGCTGTAAGTAAAACCTTCCCCTTTCGTGCCCATGGATACATTCTGACCTGATTTCACCGTATTACATTTGCAATCATACATATACCTCGATTGCAATTGGTTTATCACGATAAACAGTGGCATGTTTTTGGGAGCCGAGTGAGGGATACCGCTGACATGGAAAGATTGTATCCTGATGATTTATGTACAATATCCACCAGGGGTTGAAGCATCTCCGGGGAGATGTCCACCTCATCTTTTCGAGACGTTATCAATGTTTACCAATGAATGCAACGGGGCACCGGGTGACTTCGGAAAAATGGGTTGAAGATTTGAATGCTAAACTGCGGATATCACGGTCCGTGACATCCCCGCGATATCACCGCCGTCCGATCAATGGTGGATCACCAGTGGTGGATCTTTTTGTCAGATTAGTAAGCATTGATGAGTTCCACCAGTTCCATGCTTCTCAGATTCATTGAAGCACCACCAGGAGGATTTGACTGAGTCCCAAAGACTGAACTCTTTTCCTCTTAAAATCATAGCAAAGCATACTGGGAATTGTGATTCTATTGTTTATTTTTAGCTTTCGAAACTTCAACCTTGCTTCATACACAAACCATCCTAATGCTGTCGAAAGGCAGAGTCTAAAACAACAACAACAACCTACGCGACATATATCTAAACAATCGAAATGTCGTCAATTTCTTCACAGACAGCTAGGCGACGTATGCTAGAGGCTTTTCCATGGATCAAGTACCCATTGATTGTGTCAGCGCCAATGTTGGGTGCTACCACACCTGCTCTCGCGACAAATGTGAGTCTGGCGGGTGGTATAGGATTTCTTGCAGGCGGTAACGATGGGGCGGATCTTCATCAAAAGCTTACCACAACGAGGTCATTGTTTGAAGCTGCGAGTCAAAAATCGTCGCAACTTGAGACATTTGATCGTCTTCCTATTGGGATTGGCTTCCTGAATTGGCACTGTAAAATCAGTGTCGCTGTTGAAGCTACAAAAAATCACAAACCTTCAGCAGTTTGGCTTTACGCACCGGAAAGAACAGAAGACTTGAAAGAATGGGCTCAGGAGCTTAGAGCTGTTAGTGACGGGAAAGTTTCAATTTGGGTACAAGTCGGGAGTGTCAAGGAAGCCTTGGATGTCGTGGATATAGCGAGACCTGATGTCCTGGTCATTCAAGGTTCCGATGCTGGTGGCCATGGTCTAGCTCAATCAGCCAGTATTATCTCATTGCTTCCAGAAGTTGCAGATGCACTTGAAGATAGAAAATCGGAAATAAATTCCATACCACTACTTGCAGCTGGCGGAATTATGGATGGACGAGGTGTTGCTGCTGCAATGTGTTTGGGAGCGACAGGGGCCGTGATGGGTACCAGATTTCTAGCGGCTGAAGAAGCAGGTATTCCTCAAGGCTGGAAAAGGGAGCTTGTCAAAGCAGTGGATGGTGGTGTTAGTACCGGAAGGTCTACTTTATGCGACCGATTGAAGACAATAGTGGGATGGCCAACAAGATATGATGGTCGCGCCTTACTCAATAAGGGCCATGAAGACGAGAAAGCTGGAATGACAGACGAAGAAAACGTCCGTCTGTATAAGGAAGAGTTAAGAGATGGTGATAAGGCTTGGGGCTCACATGGCAGGATGGTTGCATATTCTGGTGCTGGAGTTGGGCTGATTAAAAGCGTAATGCCAGCCGAGAAGATCATTGAAGAAACAAGAAAGGGTGTTTCCGATGTCTCTCAGTAGCTACACTTGCAATCTAACAAACTAAAAGGCCTTTCCAAGTAAGGTCTTTTCTTTTGCATCAACACTTCACAGTGAGCAGGAAGCTTGAGGAGACTTTTTACCACCTGATACGTAACGATGTATTTGATTTTCATTGCTTTTTCGATTTTTATAATTTCCATAGCGCACATGACGCATACAAGTAGGATGAACATTATCTCTCAATCATTGGAATATTATCTGAAACATATTGAGTACAATTCCAATTGAACTCAAGGCTACCCATGTGACATCCGCAACATTCAGCTCGCATCGGACCGATTTCTTCTTGACGCTGATATTCGAGCAAGGGGTACATACGCTCAAGAAGAAACTGTAGAAAGATCAATTCGGAAGGAGAATTTATGATGTGCAGGTTTGTTGGTTTTCCGCAGACCACACTTTGCTTGAGGTGGGTCGTCCGCAGAAGGATCGTCAACCATGTTCCTGTAAGCTTCCCATTTGGGGTAAATGTAGGATGCAACCTTCTGAAAAGATTTACTCGTACCTTTAATCATAAACCTACCTACAAAGGGCCACTAGATTGGCTGTTCATGGCCACCCTTTATGTTGTGCCTTCCTTCCTGTGACATCTTCTGTGCAGTTTAATTTCATGCTTGACATTTGAACCGGACACATTTGTTCCGAGTACTTCTTCGCGATATTTCTCATTGTACTGTTAATAGGGTGAAATCGCAAATGATTTAGTAAAAGTTTAATAAATCTTTCTTTTCACGAGAATTTTCAATCTTTTCAATTTTCGCGGTAGAAGAAAAGCCGGAAAATGGGTTTTTCTAACATGTTGCTAGGCGCCTTGCTAGGCATTGCTTCTTCGAACGGCGTTCAATCAGCGACGCCTGATGAATGGAGAACTCGTTCAATATACCAAGTATTTACAGATCGATTCGCTAGAACAGATGTTACAAATACCACGGATTGCCCTTCTCAAACTAGAGGATATTGTGGTGGGACATGGCAAGGCATAATCAACAAGCTTGATTATATCCAGGTATGAGAAGAATGGTGCAGTCATACGCTAGTGAAGTCCTAGGTACTAATACTCTACTAGGATATGGGATTCACAGCAATTTGGATATCACCAGTTGTTGAACAAGTCGCGGATCCAGGTCGAGGTTTTCACGGGTATTCCGCTCAGAATTTATATGGTTTAAACAGTCACTTTGGGGACGCATCAGATTTGAAAGCATTGGCTAACGCACTTCATGATCGAGGAATGGTAAGACTGAATGCAAAATGAGAATAGATAAAGATAGCTGATTATGGCAGTACTTGATGGTTGATGTCGTGGCGAACCATATGGGATCTGATGATACTGCGCATAACGTCGATTTCAGCATCATGAACCCATTCAACGACGGCAAATACTTTCATGATGTCTGTTTCATTAATGATTACAACAATCAGACGAATGTCGAACTATGCGAACTTGGAACAGAGAAGTATCCATTACCAGATCTAAACACTACTCGACAAGATGTTCGAGATCTCTTTACTACTTGGATCGAGTCACTAGTAGCCAACTACTCAATTGACGGATTGAGGGTGGACACTGTTAGACATGTGGAAAAAGATTTTTGGCCTTTATTCAATGAAGCAGCCGGGGTCTATTGTGTCGGCGAAGTGGCAAATGGGGATGTAGATTATCTATGTCCGTACCAAGATTACATAGATGGACTCCTTTCCTACGCATCGTATTACCAACTCACAAAATTCTTTTCCAACACCTCCGCAACGTCAGAGAACTTGATAGGACAACTGCAGTCCCAAAATTATCGATGTAAAGACACAACACTTCTCGGATCCTTCACTGAGAACCACGATCAACCCCGCTTCGGAAATTATACTAGCGATCTTACATTGGCTAAAAACATCATCACATACACGATGTTAGCCGATGGTATCCCAATTATCTATCAAGGTCAAGAACAACATTTTCATGGCGCAACTGATCCTTATGATCGTGAACCAATATGGCCCACAGGTTACGATACTAGTTCCCCACTTTATGTCCTAGTCAAGCAATTGAATGCTATACGTTCTTTGGCAATAGCACGCTCGGATACATATGCGACTGATCAAACTCAAATAGCTTACTCAGATCCGCATAATACTGCGTTTCGGAAGGGTGATGGGAAATGTATGACCCTAATGGTACTGAACAATATCGGTGAGAGTGCAGAGGATTACACGGTTGAGATGAAGAATGTGGGATTTGAAGCTGGACTGGTAGTGACGGATGTGTTGAGTTGTAGGAATGTAATGGTGGATGAGAATGGTGGGATGAACGTGCCGTTTGTCAGTGGGTTGCCAAGTGTAAGTCCAATCCTCTCCATGAACACGTGGAGAGTCTAATCACATGTATAGGTTTATTATCCTTTCTATTTACTTGCTGGAACAGGCTGGTGTGGTCAGTATTGAGATAGTATACTTCCTATCTGATTGATCTGGGGAGAGGAGACGGTTTCTTGTATTTACTTTTATCCACAAAACTACCCGGCGGACTCATTGTTCATAGCTTAGAAGAAATTTTCGTATATAATGAAGCTATTGGTGAGGTCTATTCCTTTTCAAGAGCCCTCCCTCCTTTTGATAGCATAAAAACGATCTAAAAGTACATATAAAAGTGCTCAGCGCACAAAAAATTGGCAAAATCGCTCTATCCCTCGTAGTCCATGTCGCTCGAACTGAGACTATCCTCTTCACTCCCACTAAGCTCTCCAGCACCTATTTCGCCACCACCGCCACTGGTATCAGCACCAATTGGACCAAAATCGCTCAAAGAAGCACCGCTAGCTTGCTCTCTCTCCCAAATGGGTCGTAATCTCTCCACTTCTCTTCTAGTTTCCTCACAAAACTCATCCATCACCTCCGGTCGATCCGGAATCTCAATCTGCCGCAAGATTCGCTGATTCTCCATCGCTACCACATTGTTCTCGTCATGGTAGCCAATAACGGCCAAATTAGCCATTGGATTGGCGATTGGGGGGCCATTTAGACCATGGCTGGTATTTAGAAGGCTGTTTTGAAGCCCTGGGAGGCCACCAGCAAGGTAGCCGACAGGAGGAGGGGGAGCGAAGCGAGAATAATGTGGAGGGGGGTGGTGGGGGCGTAAAGCTGGAGCTAGATGGCTAGCTGGTTGTTGGTAGGTGATTTGAGGAGGGAGGATAGTAGGAGGATATACCAGAGCACGTGCTGGAGGAAGATGTGGAGGGAATCCACGTGGTCCATCGATATCGTATGGATTTATATAATGCGCGGGGTTATCCATGGGGATGTAGCGGCCGGCAGAAGGAGCAATGTAGCCTAGCCATTGCATGCCAGGCTCGGCTGGATAGGGCACGGCTGGATGGTCATCGGGGAGGGGGAGGGGACCGAAACTGGGGTGGAGGATGGGATGGTTGACCCAGGCGTTGGCTTGGGTGAGGGTTGCGAATTGGGGGACTGGGAGACCGAGGTAGTAGAGGGGATAGGGTGGGAGAGGTGCGGCTTGGATGTTTATATGGCCTGGGAGTTGGTAGAATGCTGGTTGGCGGTGGTTATTGTTCATTTTGGCGGTGGGGTGGTGTGAAAGGGTGTTGGTGGGTGGTTTTACTTCTTGAAATGGGTTATTTATGGGAGAAAACCGCTCAATTTTGATAATCAACCTTGTGAGACTAGATTTGAAAGTGAAATTATCGTAAATAACTCTTATTTAGACTATGAACTCTACTATATCACGCGTCAATACTACAGATTGGGCCAAGACCATATCGAACTTGTTGCATAATAAACTCTATGTATTATTAAAATGCTATCAAAGCTCTCGAAATACGATAATGGTAGAAATACAATAGCAGTCGTTGAAATCCAGAGCTCAACAACCTCAGTTCAGTCATTCTTGAGATCCCAGACACAGACTTGACCATTGTAAACATTTTGACACCCCAAAACAATAAACATATAATCAATCAATAGTGAGAACAACGATTAGCATAAGATAAAACATAGATAAATCAAAGAAAGTTGTTTAGCTTTGATAGTTAAGGTTTTGTCATCATTTCTCGGCTCCCTTACTCTAAGCGACAGCTAAAGTTAATAAAGTATCTAGATCTCGAAGGTCATTACATCATTAGTTCACAAACTGGACAATATTTGATTATTGAATTTTACTCGTATTATACTTTGTTTTGAGTGTTGGAATTGATTTGGTAGATTGAACTTATTTCATCAGGAAATCCATCATGTACATTCAATTGCTTTGAGATATCTAGTATATTTATCAAGATAGAACTTATTGTTAGATTAATACTCCCGATTGTTCAAATCAATTCTTTTCATCGAGGTATCTTCATTATTCAAACTCGTCAAATGTATCTAACTCTCCTAAGATATCTAGGACACTTGATGTTGTAAGACTAGGTGATATTTTGAGATAGTCTCAATTGCTCAAGTCGATTCTAGTTTTTGACATGTTCTCATTTCTCAGCCCGTTATACTTTTTTAATTATCTCAATTCAAGTAATGCACTCGATGATATAAAACTAAAGAATACATTGAGATATTTATAAATCTCTAAATCAATTTTAATCGTTATCATAATCTCATCATTCAAACCCATCACATATATTAAATTATCTCAAGATATCTAATTCTGATCATATTATCAAACCGACTTACAATTTGAAATATTCTTGATTCTTCAACTAGATTCCAGCTATCGAGCTATTCTCGTTATTCAAACTCGTCACATACATTGAATTACCTTGAAGTTTTTAACTCATCTGATATTCTAACATCAAGTAAAACATTGAGATACCCTCGATTCTCCAAGTCAACTTCATATATTGAAATATTCTCAATAATGAAATCCATCACATTTATTCAACCATCCTGAGGTATTCAATACATTTGATAGTACAAAGACGATAGAAATATTGGACGCCCTTAATCGTCCAAATCGATATCAAGTATCCAGAACACTTCATTGTCCAAACGCATCTGATAGTGCAAAGCAAAGTCAGACAATGAGATATCATTAATTATCAAAGCCAATAGAATAGAAATATTTGAATTTTCTTGATTGTCCAAATCAATATCAGGTATTCAGGATACTTCATTATATTGAAGTATTTTATAACACAAAGCCAAGGTAAACATTGAGATACTTTCGATTGTACAAATCGGTTTCAGTTATTCAAATCATTAAATTGTTTGAGCTAACTGGATGGATTCAAATATCCGGGGGTATTTACTACAATTTGGGACTTAGGAGTATATGAAGAATTCATTTCATGTCATCTCATGAAGCTTTATGGGATATTGGGACATTCTCAATTATAAACATGAAATTGTGTATAAAAGAATAGTTGGAGCCTTTACATGGTTTGTCATCATGAGTCAGTAGTGAAATACATCTGATGAAATGTAATGTAGTTAGGTACTCAAAGCATTCGTATCCGCTTGCGTCATAAGGTCTTTCGAGCCATTACTCTCATATGATAGAATATTTAGCGATTTTGAGGTTCATTGATATCGTGAGCTCCGCAGTATACACCCAACCGCCTACATATGATGCGCCCTCCTAAGTGTCTTCTCCGCCTCCTCCCTCACCCCGTCCCAAATCCTAAACATCTCCTCCCACTCCCCCCCACTACTCTTCCCCCACAATTCTCTCCACCATTTCCCCATCTCCTCAAACCCCCTCACACTCTTGATCCTCTCCAAATCCGTCTCAGATCCCTCATAAATAATCGTATCTATCCACAACGTACACAAAAATGCAAAAAGTGAATATCCCTCTATCTCCCTAATCTTCTTCACAGAATCCCGACACAGAGCCCTATCACCTTTGAGAAATGAATCCTGCAGATGGATTAGCAAAGCCAGTTCCGTGAAATCAGGCCCGGATTTAATAGTTTCGGTCTGGAGATTCGGAGAAAAGAGCTGCAAGCGCAAGATCTCAAGACTAAGTCCAAGAGTCGAAATTTGGAATCTGTGATCTTCTGAAGCGTTGGGAAATTCTTGGGAACATTGTTTTACAAAAATTGATGTTCCTCTATTCCACGCAAGTAAAGCTCTTCGACGTTCTTCCGTGGGAATCTGGATCTGTGGAACATCGGCTTGTCCAGATTTTAAGAGAGCGTCAATTTTATTTTTGTGATTCTGTACAATCGTCCACATAAATCCAATCAAATGTGTAAAACCAGAGAGTCTTTCTTCTTCCGAGACACCCTGTTTACTGAGATGATCAAATATCGCAGCAACACCTCTCCGTTGCGTCTCTTCGTGTGTCCAGAACGAGCTCTCAATCTTAGAACTTTGCAATAAAGACATTCCGAAACTCTGAGCGATTTTCCTCTCTTCGGATTCGGCTTGCGCGCCGAGTATCGCGTGAACACTTTCCCATCTCTCTCTTAGGATTTGATTATCGTGTCCTAATTTATGATCAACGCCTATACGTATAGTTGATACATCTCTAAATTTTATCGGCGTTCTATTTTTTGTATAGATGTCGAAATTCAGACGCACGCCGTGGTTGATTGATCGGAAGTGAAACAATTTGTGTCCGAATCTATGCACCATATAATCCCAAAATTCTTTTTGCTGCATATCTTCATAAAACGAAGCCGGTATTGGAAATTTCTCTTGGTAATCGAAGGGGCCAGGGTTCCTTAACGTTATACTCTTCGATCCACAAAGATCCTGACTTTCTACCGATGGCCAAATCGTCTCAAACCAATGTCCATATGGCATTCCTTTTACCGTCGTGAAAGAACGGACCGTGCCACCATTTAACTATAGCCACCATGATTAGTTCTCAAGATCTCAATTTTGGAAAGAGAGAAAACTCACAGCAACCTCGAAACTAAAGCCGGCTTCAGCCAATGGTTCCTCATCAAAAAACCACGGCGGATTCTCATCATCCGGATTCTCCACTCTCGTCCCATCTGTCTTCGGACAAACAAAATTAATCGCATGAATAATCTCATGCACAAGAGTAATAGCAGTTGCCCACTCCACCATCTTCCTCTCCGAAGTAGATAGATCATTTCTGAACAGTGATTGTAGCCTTGAATAAGCAAGCCATACATAAATCTGCCACTCCTTATTTTCCGCTTCATGATATTCCATGTATTGATAATTTGTTACGGTAAGCCCATACACACTATCTGGAAGTGTATCCTCCGGATCAATGGGATATTCAGGACCGCGAGGATCTTCATCGGGTGACATGAAGCCGAATTTGCAATTCCAGTTCTTTTCTAGATCGTCGAATACCTCTTCCATTCTCTTACGAACAAGACTGTAATCTGTGATGTTGTACGGAAGAAATGATACCAAATTATCCGGCACTTCATCTTTTGGACGAATCCTCGCTGGATCGATCGGAACTCTTTCACCAAATATCAGAGCTGCGAACTATGATCCAAATTAGCCCTATCCAATAAACCTTAGATGCTTCACAGCAGATCAGTTCCTACCCACGGTAATGTATACATGCTCATTATAGTCCTACTCGCCAATTGCAAAACCGGCTTCAATTTCTCATACACCAACGGATTATGCATTGACCAATCTCCCCTCTGCACCCCATCAATTATCAGCGGATACATATGGTCCCTCGTCAAATCCGGCTGATGAGGCTGTATTTCCCATCTCTCTTGTTGAAAAAGCGGCATGATGGGATTATCCAACGTAGACTCTTTCAAGTGCCTGTCAGTGATAACATCCATATCCGCCAATTCCCGAGCGGTAAATCCATCAAATTGCTCTCGTTGAAAGTCCTCAATTCTATTTCGGAGAACGATTTCTTCAGGATCCATGTGTGCTTTGGGGAAAAGAGGGGCGAGGGGTGTAAGCCCTGATATTTGGGGATTCTCTGACCAAGCGCCATATTTGGGAACATTGCGACTTTGGCGAAGGTCGTTTCGTAACATGGCTGGCGGGCGATGTAGTCTTCTGAAGTCTCCAAAATATACTGTGAGATAATATTTTCTTGCTGTGGTCGCGCTATACGGTAGATTGCAACGCTTTCCTTTGTTTGATTATGGCAGTTGGCTAGTTGTAATCGCAAAACATAACATCCATCTTTGTTGCATGTACACTAAAGTTACCACTCAATCCAGAATAATAGAGACAAAGGATTTTTGAAGTTTCTTCAACCCCAGAGCCAAAGTATTGCTGGTATCAAATAGCAAATCTGACCCTTTGTCAAGTTGCTATAAATTAATGAATTAGCTTAAAGAGGTATCGCCGGATCACCCGATCCGGACAAGAAACCAAAATAAAGACCTTCATATTCTCTCAAAGCAAAATCCTCTCCCATTTTCTCCCCATCACAAATCATGATCCCATCCGGTAAATCTTACAGTTGAACAGACTCTCAAATACCATGTCTACAATCGGCACCAACAGTTCTTCCCCTAGTCGCCTAACCTTCTTCACTCCCCCCCAATCCCCTAGAGCCTCACAACTAAGCACTCGACGAGCCTCCAAAGTCATAACCGCCAGTCCACGAAAAAGAGTTTCCTTCCCCGTCTTTCCCGAAGAAATCGAATTACCAAACCGTCAAACCTCATGGCGACAGAAGCTAGCCAACATACCAAGGCTATGGTCTGAATTCAGTACCTCGTTTCGCCATCGCATTTCCATAAAAAGACTCATCAAGATAATTCTTCTTATCTACGCAACTGTACTTATCATCCGCATCGTTGATATTCGCATCTCCCTGGGGAAGAATCCTTGGTACGAAAAAAAAGAAGAATATACCCACGAGGGAGAGAAAGACTTCCCCCACGAGAGAGAAGAAGAAAATTTTCGCGAAAGGAAGCAAGACTTTCAGCGCGAAGAGAAGCAATCTGCACATGGATATGATAATCGCGATGGATCTCACTTTTCACACCAACTCGAGCCCTACGAGTTAGTCAGTCCATTGTATGATCTCGCAAATCTAGATATAAGTCCTCAGCTTGATGTCATACAAGATGCATATTCCGATGCGCGATATGGACTTAACAGACTGAGAGATGGTCTACCACAACTGTCAAAAGCTTCTCCAGGACTAAGTACCAAAATTCGAAGTTTTCGAGATCAGGCCTGGACAGTCTCCGAAGCTATTGGAGGGTTTTCAAAGTTCGTGGATGTTTATGTTGGCACCTTTAAGCGAGAAACAGACCATCTAAGGGAACAACTCGCCAAAGTGAAACCGGGAGATGAACTTGCCAATCTAAATCTAGAAGATTGTAGAAAAGCGGGAGTAGTTTGGATCAATCATTATAAACGATTGAAACTAAAGATAAGAAATATGTGGAGGACGAAAGATGTATTTTCAAATGTTTTTGACTCAGCCATTAGAGAAAGGAAAAATCTTGAAAAAGCCCTGAGGAAAGCCGAGTCCGGTATGACCAAAGAAGCAAAAAAGCAGGAATGGAATAATTTTGATTTTCCCTCGGCATACCAATTTCTTGAACGATTTAGTCGGTGCAGAACTAAAGACAAAAATTGGGGGGGCTATGAGGAAACGATCAAAGAGTTGATCATATACATTGATGTATCACTCAAGGCTGCTAATGCACAAATCGAAAATTTGATGGCAGAATTCCAGCGGATTTTAAGCGTTGACGAGAACGAAGCAGATGTGGAATCGATCGATTTTCCGACAATTTTCAATCAAATGGAGGCGCTGAATCTTACCTTTGAGAAATATGAGCGGGTCAAAGCCCTGATTGAACGCACGAGAGAGAAATCGATGAAGGATTTGAGAAGAAGAGCTCATGATTCGAAAGATAGGATTAGATACTATAACTATGTTGCTAGCCAACAAAAAGAGCGTCTTGATAAGCAAATCATCACCCCGAGGGATAGGAAAAGGAAAGAATTTTTGCAGGAGCTGAGAGAAAGAAGAGTCAAGCAGAGTCAGAAAGGGAGGTAAGATTGTCGCATGGCTAAATGAGTCCGGAATCACCCTTGCAAACTTTCGAATTTTCAACTTTCAAAAAGCATTAAATTAAATTTCAGTAGAATCAAAATCGTTCGCTTTCGAGTCAATTGACTAAGTAAAAGTTTATACCCTAACCTACCCATCTAGTATGCACCCCATCTGTGACCACTTTGAATGCATGCGTTGCTTGACAAATCAAAGATCATCAGATTCTGAGGAGAAAAGAGGTAGTGAAAACAAAGTCGACGGGTACTGAAGTATAAATTAATGAGGATATCTCCAGAGTCTGACGAATAGCATTTGAAATTGCCCTCCCCATCTATTACTAGATGCTAGATATCAGATATTTGCAACTGACAAATAGATCCCAGTAGGCAGATAGGTACATCAGCCCGTAAAGTCATAGCCAGCAAGGTATCTGAGCACAATCGACTGTAAAATCAAGAGAGCACTTCTCTCTCAGACTAGTTGAGCCCCTCTTGATCAATTTCCAACAGCCTGTAGAGACGTGCTCATATTCATATCCACATTTGAATCGTCACAACATTAGCACCATGAACATAATCCGGAGAATTCATATACCATTCGCAATTATAGCTAACAATCGTTTGAGCTCTTCATAACTTCGAGTCTTGTGAAACTCACTGACCAGTACGCTGGGTATATTACCACCATCCATCCATACCAATCATTCCCTTCGTCCTCCCTGAAATCCAATATCAAAGCTAAATGCTTAATAATACACGCTGAAAAGTAGAAGTAGTCTTTCTCTTTGAATCTAAAAGTAATTTTATAGTTTAGGCTTGACGTTATTTGCGCTCGCACTTGCTTCCTTGTTGACAATAATGTCGCCAGATTTTGGTCCGTTGCCGAAGAAGATGACTTCTACCGTAAGATCATCACTGTAAATTTGTCAGCATGGTTTCATGGAAAGAAACAGCGTAAAGAGCGTAATATACCGGTATCTTCTAGAATAAGGGGCAGGCAGTGACAGTAAAGCGCAAACCATATCCTTATCCTTTCCACCTAATGCATTTCGTACCAAATGTGTGGCGACATTTTTGTCCTCAACAACAAATCTATCACTTTCAGTGACGCCCCATTGACGTTGTCGAATTGGGGCTTTTTGGCCACTGTTACCATCATCTTTACTTGTTTCTACAGGTAATCCTTTTTGCGACGCTGTAAACATTTTAGTCCATGAACTTGCGGAATTTCCATTCGAATCGGCTGAATGTTTATCAATCCATTGTCCAACCAAACCGACTACTTCTTCGTTTGAGAGCATCTCCCAGAGTCCATCCGTAGCCATTACAACAAAGTCTCCACTCTCCGGTTGAATCTTGGTAGTTGTTACTACAGGTTCCGCAGTGACGTACGGTGGGGTTCTGAGAAGGCTGGATGGTGTTCTCCCAAAGAAAGATTCCTTTAGCCTCTCTGAAACTTGACGAGTCCATTTATAAGTGGCGTCGCCGAATGCGCGAGTTGGTTCGAGACCTCCCAAGACACGGCCATTTCTAATGACGTGATCCTCTCCAGGATGTAATTTCCTCATTCTGGCTTCTTCATCTTGATTGCTACCAGTTTGATCGATTGATAAAGCTTTAGCAGTCCATTTCCCACTATCGCTTCGTCTTCCTAAGATTGCGCGTGAATCTCCTGTGCATGCGACGCGCAAGAGTCCGGTGTTGGTATCATAGAAGGAGAGGAGCGCGCAAGATCCTGATAATGCTGGGGCTAACAGTTCTGCTGCGACCAATTTCGAATTGCCTTTCATTACTTTCTGCGCACTTTCATGTACAATCTCATTGTCGAGTCGAGTGAAGCCGGTCTTCATCGCAGCTTCAATGGCTTCGGTAGAAGGGTTTGGAGAGGCTTGGTAGGTAGAATTGAGTTCTCTAGCGACATAATTGATCAATACTTGTCGTAATTTCGCAGAAGTAGTCCAGCCTCTGTTAAGATGTTAGTGAGTGTGGTTGTAAATTGGAATAGAAACATACGAGTGCCCATCGAAAACACCCCAAAACATCCAATCCGAAGGTGATTGTCCGGCAATTGCTTCATTGGTTTCAATAATCTTTTCAGAATGATCATCCTCAATTGGGTCATTGCTTGGGATTTGAACGACATCGTATCGCACAACTCCCTTGCCACGACCGACAAAATAAGATTCCTCATTTCTTCTCAATTTTGAAGTTGCTTGCTCTGGTGTTAACATTTCTAAAACTTTTCTTCCAGAATCGTCGGTATCCTTTGAAATTGGACCTTCAATGGTGTCAGTATAAAGACCTTCTGTGCTGACAATTACAGCCTTTCTAGCATCCGCGGTCTCTTCGGGCCCGATCGGTGTTGAATAGATGGTGCTAGTTGAGAAGCCGCGGGATTGTTGTACTGATGAAGTTGGACTGGCTTCTTGAGTGAGAGTTCCGTCTTCGTTGTATGCATACCATGCGCCATATCCAACCAAGCCTGAAACGAAGGCCAGACCAAACCTTCGCCAATACATCGAGGCTGGGATGACGGAAGTATGAAGTGGTGAAGCTGATGATGCTGATGATTTGGGAATAGGAGTTCTACCGGAAGAATATCGTGCACTTAGAACATAGTTTGATGGTTGAAAGATGCTACCACGGGTGCTACGAAGAGCAGGTAATTGTCTCGCCGTGCGAATCGCTTTTAATGCTACTCGACGCATTGGAAATGAAGATTTCTAGTATTTAGGAAAATCCAAAGTTTTGAGTTCCTGGGGGGGGGGTTTAGCTAAGCTTGATTTCCGAGATAACGCTTTGGTAGTGTAGTACCCCGGATATTGCCAGGACCGTGAGAGGGGTGGCTGGGCGGACGGTATTGATATGTATTTGATATTACGACAATTGAGAGGATGATAATGGTAGCAGGTAGAGGAAGGGTGATAAAGACCAAAAGACGACGACCTAGTATTCTTCTTATCAATATAACATACTGGGTAGGTGAGTATTGGTAGATATTCTCAATATTTTGTTGAGCAAGTACAACGTGAACGACTACGATAGCAGGCACTACTATATACAAGACAAGTACCACTTTTACTAGGTCTGTGTATCAGAGTCTGCGAGGTCTTCCACTGTTGCTCTTGCCAGCAGTAAAATGGATCTGCTCTCTGCTTAATAAGCTGAAACATGACCAATCAAACAATTAAGTAAGCAATCTCTATCGGTCCACCAGGTGGTCTACCAGTCTATCAACCCCACTAGCTCGAGACTATGAGATGTAGGTAATAATAAGTGGTGAGTGAAGCAAATGCGTCATTCCCCGTTCAATTTTTATTGGAACAAATGTATGATTCTAGAATAGAATAGGACCGCTATTTTTCACAATCGCATTTATTGCCACTTTTATCCTCACAGTTCTACGCATACGTCTTGATTTCATTGCTATAATTCAAATAACAACTGCCCTCCCCCTCCCTCATTATGTCGAGTAGACAATTACGAAAGTTACAACAACAGCGCGAGCTGGAACAGCAAGCCAAACTTCAAGCTCAAGAGGAAGCGGCAGAAGCGGCAGAAGAAGAAGAATCTGATGAAGAGCCACAACCTTCACAATCAAAACCGAGCCTGTTTGCGAATTTTGCAGCGTTAGAAGACTTAGAAGACGATGACGAATCGAAGGGCATTGATGATGATGAAGAACCGGCGGAAGAAGAATTGAGCGAACCTTCTCCAGTTGTGACCGCGAAGAAACCCAAAAAACCAAAGAAAAAGAAGAAGGTGAAGAATGCTGGAAAAGGGAAAGACTCCGCAAAAGCTGCTGAAACTAAACCGAAGAACGATCTGGATGACATTGACCAAGCTTTGAAAGAGTTGAATTTGAAGAATCCAAATGCTACGAGTATGACGAGTTCAATCGAAGTGGATGAAGAATACGGAAGAGTTTGTTTTCTCTTGGGTATCAACACGCAGCATCTCAAAGTTGCAAACGAAATGCGAAGCTTATTTGGACGAGCTGCTACAGAGCCAAATGAAGATCCTGGAGGACCTACTGGCCGCGGAGCAAGAAGAAGGCAACATAATCAAGAAATGGATTTAGAGACAGTCTTGAAGGGACACCATCAACCTGGCAAAGGTCTTCCAGAGCTTACCTTGCGACGTAACCTCTTCATACAGGGGAAGGATGAGTGGCCAAAATCTAGCTCGGGTGGATTAACGATGGAAGTCGTCGAAAACCAAGATGTGGTTGATGGCACCATAGAATACAGATTTGTACATGATCAATCATACCAATCTGTGCAGGCAACATTTCAAGGTCTGGTTGAAATGGGTGATCCCCAAAATCTTATTAGATTCATTGTGAGATATCGTGAGTACAATCTATACTTCACGTAGCTTTAACTGACCAATAATAGCGTACAACATTTCACTCCTTCTCCAAGTCAGCAAGATTGCCAAGAATCAAGGGGACCATTCTCTAGCATCGGATCTTGTTGAGAGAGCTCTTTTTACATTTGGTCGAATATCTTTATCATCCTTTGGTACTAAATTGGCCAAAGGTAAAGCTCGATTAGATTTCAGTAGACCAGAGAATCGAGAACTTTGGTTGGCTGGATATCACTACATAAAATCTCTCATCATGAAGGGAACTTACCGAACTGCATTTGAATGGGCAAAACTGCTCTTGAGTTTGGATCCCGAAACCGATCCATATTGCATGAGATGGATGATACACCATCTCGCTTTACGTGCACATGAGTTTCAGTGGCTTTTGGACTTTGCCGCCAGTCGAAATATACCCGAGTGGGCAAACACAATAAGTTACGCCAAACCATCATTTGCTCTGGCCGCGCAACAACTTAAGGACGCGGTCAAATGTAGAAGTCTTCTATCGGAATCTATGCAACAGGTACCTTGGCTGTTTTGTCGACTATTTCAAGAACTAAACCTTGACGCACCTCCGTCAATTTGGGGATCGCAACCACCAACTGCGTCTGATACTTTCTTCACGCAACTATATGT